AAAAAAAAAAAATTATTTGAACGTTTGAAGTACTTAGAAGAAGTACACATACCTTTCTATGAGTATCACTAAGTTCGCATTTCCCTTCATTTATAGATCCCTTGCTTTTTTCAATTACATTACTAGATGAATGTCTCTCCCAGGAAGACATTGTATTATTACGTAACTCGTGAGAACAGTCAAAAGATAAACTTTTTATCCATTTGCATTTTGGTCCTTCTAATTCCTCCTCATTCTTCCTTTTCCTTGATTCTGGTTCGATAGCTATTTTTTGACTTCTTTCAAAATCATTCTCCTTTGTATTTTGTGTAAATAAGGCACGTTTAATACTTTGAGGATTCGACCTATTTGTAAACAATTTGCTTGGACCAGCTCGATCAGGAGGAGGGCTTTGAAAGAGCGCACGTTTAGATGTTTCAATTTTAGACTTTAACGGACTAGTTCCATCTAAAATAAGCCGACGAGCTACTTTTTTCTTTGTTGAACTCTTGGGAGTTCCCCTCGGACTTTTGCCTCGTGGACTCTTAGTCCGTGGACTTTTGCCTTTCTTAACTATGGGTTTTCTATATTAAAAGAAAAATTATTTTATATTTTAAATGAATAAAATCTTTCCTTAAAATATGTTTTGCATTTAATGCGTACTTGATGTTTAATACTACAAATTTTTTGTTGTTGAGTGCTAGTCCTTGTAAACTTGCACTGGAAAATACTTTTCGTCTTCTCGTCAAATGACTCAATCTTTTTGTTGGACTCTGACCATTATTATGTTTAGCTAAATGATTTCGTTTTTTGGCACTTCCTGGTACTGGTTTAGAAAACCATACAGTACATGTAGATTGAGTTTCGCCTCCTATATATCTATTACATAATTTTGGCGTAAGGCTTTCAAATTCTTCAACTGCTTTATTTCTGTTATAACTAAAATTATAAAGCAATATTAAATATCTTTCTACAAATACTATAAACAGTAAGAAGTACATTTATATACTTACTATATTCCATGAAATTTATGGTGATATGCCTCAGGCCACGTTAAAGTGATTGCTTCTTTCTCATTAACAGTGTAATAAAGTAATGATTGTTTTGATTCAGATTGTTGTTTTATTTTATTCTCAGTTGCACTTTCTTGTACTTCTTTAGGATTTAAAAATTTTGTTCCACTTATGCCAGCATTGATTATGTCTTTTTCATTATTAGGAACTACATTCTTTAGTCTAAAATTATCACTACAAGTGTTCTTTAAGTCTATTGTATCTATATTATTAATAATATTATTTATTGGATCACAAGCATCAAAAGCAGTACTTAAATTTCTAGAAGTACTTTTGGTATGTTGATAATTATTTGTACTAATATTCTCTTTCTGTTGTTCTGGGGATTCCCCATTTATGTTTTCTGTGTTTTTCTCTGGTAACACACACTGTGTCCAAAATAAATGTTGATTCTCATAAATACGCGATAATAATTCAGAACAATCTGTTCTACAAATTGTAAGTTTAGGTGGTGGTGGTACACCACTTAATAGTTTGTTAATTTTGGCTAATAAGTTATTATCAGTGTTTGTAATCAAATCAGCCTGAGAAGGTTTTTTAGGACTAGCTACTACTGATTTTTCATTTACTAATGGTTCGTTATTCTTTTTATCATCTTCATTGTCACTATCAAACATCTCTGGACTAGAGATGTTTGAAAGTTCATTCTCGATTTTAGAATTTGCATCTCTGTTGAAATAGCTGAGATCCATGGCATTGTCTGTTAAGAAGAAAAAAGAAACACAAATGCAACCATGTAACTTGTAAATAATTAATAATTTCTTGGTATTAAACAAAATATTAAAAAGCTTTAACATTTTTATAATTTTTTACGTTAGTATTAATTTATATTTTTACGTTACTATTTAAATACACAATAATGTAAAGTATTTTAATATTGAGATGAATTACATTTCATATTTTTATATACGGGACGAAATTTTCGTTACAAGTATTATATATATATCTAGATTTGCAGAAAATTGAATGTTAAATTATAATAAAAATATTTCACGATTGCTTCAAGTATATATATTTTACATGTGCATCATTTACTATTTAAATAGAAATTAACGTTAATAATGAGTGATCTATTATTTCATTAATTTAACCGTAATATTATACATCGCGTTTTAGATCTAAAATTAAAGTTAAAACTAAAAACAATTGTACGCATATTGGGCACAGAAATTTAAACGTACTTACGTCTTTAATGACTTATTGGCTCTCAGCTAGATGCATCTGTTTTGATTTTCTGATACCAGAGACACAGTTTACTGTACATAACAGTATAGGTATACGTCATAATTTGACGACAGCATGCTTTTTCTTTAAGGCTGTATTTCACTTACGTACTTTCATGAATAGCACCATTTTGGATGAGAATAGCACCAGTTACTCATTCGTTATTTCATATCTTGAAAAATAGTATTATCTGACATTATTATCTGAAACAGAGGAAGTGTAGAAAAATCTAAACGCAGCTGTAGTGTATATAAATCTATGAATGACATGATGGAACTACGCACATACATACAGATGTGACATTTTCAATGCAGCTTAGAAAACAATGATAATATTGCGCGTATTTAGTAGCGAGTTGTTGCATTTCCTTATGCTAATGCGTTCTTAATAAAAATATGTGTAAAAATGTATAAAGTGGTACCACTATTTTGATAAAATATTTGCTCCAGGCTTAAGAGAAAGCATTTCTCAGGTATTTATACATATACAATTCTTTTTATTTAATTTTATTCTGTTCCTATTTTATTAATCAAAATTTTGTAACTTGCAATTGATGTATTTCTGTAAATAATATTGTAAAACGTATTTCATCTTTTAATTGACTTTAGTTTTCTTGGTGTTTTTTTTTTAATATCAATTTATCATTATTGATTATTATTACTATACCATTACTCACCATATCATTAATGATATCGTTACTTAGAATTAGTGGCATCACATATTGATCATCAGCATACATTTTTATAAATCTCATTAAAAGAATGAAATTTAACTAGAATTTTATTTTGTTGATTAAATATTATAAGTATTTTGAGGTATTATATACATTTAGTACATCTTCAAAATTTTAACATTTTCTATAAATGTACAAACATTTGTAGTCTTATCTTTATGATTTTATATTAGTCATTTTTTTTCAGATACAATTGCTATGATAATCTTGACAAAATAAAATGAAAAGAATAAACTTTAAGAAAATTTAATTGGAAAGATTTTCTAAACATGTATTTAAAAAACATTACTTGATAACTACATACTAGTCAAGGTTATATAGGAAAGCCTATTGTATTCTGTTATATGCTGATTCATACATCAATTCTAATAATTTATTCATCATACTTTTATGACTTTCCATGACTTTCATTGCGTAGTTTATGTGTACAAAACATATGCACTATGTTATTGATTACATTAAAACAAAGGATTTTATTTGAGATTTAAAAATGAAAAGCGACATCAGAACTTTTGGCTTGCTTTTATATAAAAATTTAATAGTTAGAAGAAGACACTGGAAAACAACAATATTTTTACAATGTCTGATACCAGTTGCCTTGTTTATGTTGATACAAGCTGTGAGAGATTTTAGTGTGCAACCACCTCGTGTAGTCAATGAAAGTACATATTATCCCATAGAAACCAAAGAAGAATTGACGGTAATAAATAGAGATTTTACATTTTTGTATTATGTACCACAGAATTTGTATACAGAAACTATTTTGGAAGATGTCCGAATGTGTTTAAAATTGTTACATGAAAATGTAGTTGGTTTTTTAACTGAAGATGATATGGTTAATACTTATACTTTGTTACAAGCTGAATATCCTACTATACAAGTATTAGCGCTTGTATTTGAACAATATAATACAACTGATATAAGATACAAAATCAGACATTCCTTTAAAATTCCAAATATGTTATACCAAGATATATTTGATGAAATGACATATAATTCGCATACTGTATATTTACAAGCCATGCCATTTGTACAGTTACAAATGTGTGTTGATGAAACTTTTATATATCGCACAGCATCACATCCTATAATAGATACAAAGGTATTGCATTTTTATAACATTAAATAATTAACATTGTCATTAGCTTATATTATTTGTTCTATTTATTTTAGGTGTCAATACAAAGAATGCCTTATCCTCCATATGTTAAAATAGATGAATTTGATATAATATTAAGACTGGTGATATGTATGTTTGCAGTTATTGCTTTTCTGATTCCACTTTGTGTAGAAATAAACTATGCAACAACAGAGAAATATATTGGTGTAAATGTTTTGATGGCAATGAATGGCGTAAAAGAATATCAAAGTTTATTAAGTTGGTTGGTCATTGGCATTATATTTAGTATTTTTTATGTGATACCAATGACAGTACTATTTAAAAATACCTTTTCTGCAAATGTAGAACCATACTTGTATTATAGCAATACTTTTATATTTTGGCTAATACTTACAGTACATGTTACTCATTTAATATCATTTGGTATGCACATTGCTGCATATTTTTCAAGACGTAAGTTTTTTTGAAATAAATATCATATAAAACAAATGAGGAATAATATACAATGGATTTTTTCTAGCACGTTTTGTGATAACGACACTGTCAATTGTTTATATGGCTGCTTTTTCACTTCATGGAAATTTGATAAGAATAGAAGTCTTCTCAGTAATACCATATCTGGGAATATTGTTTCCTAATATAATGTTATACAGATTTCTTGAAGAAGTAAATGCATATGAGGCTAAAGGTGTGTAAAGAGTTTTTTTGTTTTTATTTATATTACTTTATATTATTTTACAATCTTTTGAATATTAATTATATGTAAAATCTTTAGTAACTGGTATTCAATGGTCAAACATGTTTGTTGTTGGAGATTCACAATATAATATTATTGGGTGCAGTGGATTTATACTTCTCTTCTCTATTATGGGAGCTTTATTACATTTTTTCCTCGCTGTATATATTAATGCTATATTGCCAGGAAGATATGGAGTTCGTAAAGATCCACTTTATTTTTTGAAGGTAAATTTAGAATAATTAGAATTGTTGGAAGCATGTTAACATGTTAGAATAATTAGAATTGCTATATATCATTGAATACATTTACAACAATAACACGTGTTTCTAGTATTTAAAGAAAAATAAAATAAATTTTGATGATGATATAGAAGAGTTTGACTATGAAAGCATAGACAACGAAAATTTTGAGTCAGTTGCAAAAGATGTATTTACTTCTGGAATACAAATTCGCAATCTTAAGAAAACATACAAAAGTATTTGTTTACGAAAATCAGTAAGTTGTTTAATTCACTAAATTTTTATTGAATTATCACTAGCTCCTACTAGTTACTACTATTATAGCTACTACTATTAACTACCAATTAGATTAGATTAATAATTACTATTCTACAACAGGAAGTCCAAGCTTTAAAAGGAATTTCAATGGACTTATACAAAGGACAAATTACAGCTTTATTAGGACACAATGGAGCTGGGAAAACTACACTTATGTCTATTCTGACAGGTAGAAATTTAATTACTTAATATTTGTATATACTCAATTTCTCTAAATTTATTATTTTATAATAGGCATAATGAGTGCAACTGAAGGAAAAGTTTTCATAAATGGTCAAAATATCGCAAGAAATTTGCAATCTATTAGAAACAATTTGGGCTTATGCCCTCAAGAAAATATGGTTTTTCCGTATTTGAGTGTATTTGAACAATTAGAATTCTTTGGTCTAGTAAGTATTTAATTTATGGAAATTAAATAGTATTAAATATAAATAACGCTTTTAAAAATTGAAAAACATACATGATATTTTAGCTGAAAGGTGCAAATAAAAAGCGACAAGAAATCAAACGTAATGTTAATACTCTACTTGAGAAGCTGAAATTATGTGAAAAAAAGGATGTTCTTCCAAATACGTTGTCTGGAGGACAAAAGAGAAGATTATGTCTTGGAATGGCTCTTATTGGTGATGCTAGTACCATTATTCTAGATGAACCAACGTCGGGAATGGATCCTGAAACTAGAAGAGATATATGGGATATTATATTAAAAATAAGAGGGAAGAAAACAATTTTAATTAGTACACATAATATGGAAGAGGCTGACATACTTGGAGATCGAATTGCCATTGTACATGGAGGGCGGTTAAAATGTTATGGCACATCAATGTTTTTGAAAAAACAATATGGTTATGGTCATATAGAAGTTACTTTGTCAACAAAATCATGGTGCAATGCAGATAAAGTTATAAATAAATTTGATCCAAAAACGCAACAAATAAGCATTGATAGTGAGAAAATCGTCTTAAGCGTACCTAATACTGAAACTTTACCACAATCTTTGGATAAAGTTGAAAACCAGAAAAAGAATCTGGGAGTTACAGGGATTAGTGTATCGCTTATCACATTAGAAGAAGTATTCTTAAGAGTAATTAAAAATGAGGATACTGGAAAACATTTGAACGAATTATTCTGTCCTCCATCGCAAAAAGTAGAAGGCTGGAGCTTATTTATACAATCAATTTTGGCACTATATCATAAGAAATTGATATATACTAAAAAGAATTTGACTAATCTATTACTAACATTGTTTTTACCACTTTTGTCGGCCGTATTAATAGGTTTCAGTTATGATACACCTAGTGATTCAACAAATGTATTTCCTCTAGAACTCAATATGTATAGACATCCAAAAGTTCTATATTCTTCTACAAACAAAACCATTAGCACGGAGTATGCAAATATAATAAAATATTTTGGTGGATTCGCAAAAGAAGTGAAACAAAATACAAGCGTTACACAAGCCTTATTGGACGAGGCGGTCGACAATATCGCAGAGTATCGTAATAATTATATCGTTTCTGCGGAATTTAATATTTCTGACGAAGTCTTATTTGTTAATGGTTTTTATTCTGGAATTGCAATTCACAGTATACCTTTAACTTGGAATTTATTATCAAATGTGCTAATTAAAAGCATGGCTGGTGATGAATACTCTATTGATCTTTCAAGTCAGAAATTACCAAATGCTTTGTCTGAAACAATGTTAAAGATGCCAGAAGTTGACTCATTGACGAGAACACTAGTTTTTTGTTGTTTCTTCTTTAAAACTGTTGCACTTTTCGTTGTTCACCCTTTTCAGGAAATGGAAAGCAAAATGAAGCAACTTCAGAGAATGACTGGAGTTAGTTCTTTTTCATATTGGCTTACTATGTTTACTTTCGATTTCGTAGTTCTTGCAATGTCTATATTTATTATCATAACGGGATTCTATATTATGGATGTTATTTTGGATATACGGCTGTATTACAAGATAGAAATATGTAAGATAATATTAAGAATTATTACATACAAAATGAATGAAAATTGAATCTTAATATATTCTTATTTCTTTTTAGTGACGATGATATTATTATTGCTACTTTTTGGCATGAATTCTTTGCTCATATCATATATCTTTAGTTTTATAAACAAACAAAGAAGTACCGTAATAACTATTTTAACTCTTGTACCAATTGGATTGGGTAAGTCATAATACACTATTGAATTGTAAAACAATGAAAAATACAAAATGGATAAACTAATATTTTTTTTTATTATATTCTAGTTTTATTACAATATCTTTTCCATCAAGTGACCCATACGTTTAATCGCTTAAAAATTCTTCATTCATTTCAAAAAGGAATATTTCGTTTAATACCTCACGTGAGCCTATTTCATGGTCAATTATCTTTCTTTAACGTATCCATACAGAACGCGAGATGTCGTCGATTACCAAATCGACTACAAGAAGTAGTTTGTTTGGGTACCAAGGATATTTGCTGTGGTATGGATTAATATCAATAATATATTTTAATAAATTTTTTAATTCAACAATGTGTAATTATGATGTTTCTTAGGTTTGAATTGTGCGGACGGAGTATGCAAAAACCAACTTTCTTATTTTTCTAATAACGATACAGATATGAATTTAAGAGATTGCATCATATACTTGTCTATTACTCCGTTAATGTATTTTGCTATACTTATTATTTTAGAGGAAAATTTACATTATAAATTGTATGCTAAAATATTTAAACAAAATTTGAAGAATCCATGTGATATACAAGATGAGCAAGTGAAAAAGGAGAAGCATGCAGTGGCGTTAGAAATTAGAAAATTGAAAAACCGTGGTATAGTATTTTCATTTCTTTAAGAGAAATTGGAAGAAGAAATTAAATGAAAATTTATATGATATATAGGTGCGAAAAAAATCATCGAGGAACCAACTAAAACAGTTACTAGTATCGAAAATAATTACATACAAAGCCCAGAGATTAGTAACGATAGTCTGTTCTTAGTTTATGAATTAAGTAAATATTATGGGAAGTTGATGGCAGTACAGGAAATTAGTTTCCGAGTGAAGCAACGAGAGTGTTTTGGACTGCTTGGCGTTAATGGCGCTGGGAAGAGCACCACATTTAGAATGTTGACTGGTGAAGAAGTACCAAACAGTGGAGCAATGTACTTAGGAAAATCAGAAATTCATACTGATAGAAAAAATGTAATATATAATTTCTCTTGCATTTCTCTTTTAATATTATTTTTAGTATATTTTTCTAAATCTTTCATGTAGTATCTTGCTCAAATGGGATATTGTCCACAAACTGATGTATTACTCAATTCCTTGAATTCATTCGATCATTTGCGACTGTTTGCATTGCTTCGCGGTATCCCCAGAAAGAAAGTGGATCTAGAAGTTAACAAATGGATTAATAGACTTAGTAAGCCGTATCTGTTTTTTTTTTTTCTTAAATTTACTTCAAATAATCGTCATGTAAATTCACAATTGTGTTTGTTGCATTAGATTTAAATGCTTGTATGCATCAACCAAGTGGTACTTATAGCGGAGGGAATAAACGACGTTTGAATATTGCAATGGCACTTATTGGGAATCCAACTCTCGTTTTATTGGATGAACCAACGACGGGAGTTGATCCAGCGGCTAGGAGATCGCTGTGGAATATTCTTCAGTCCTGTCAAACAATAGGACAAGCTATTATACTCACTTCTCACAGGTACTTTATCCGACTGGATACTACATATTACTGAAAATTATTGTATAACCTTATTTGCATAAAAAAAATATTCGTAATAGCATGGAAGAATGCGAAGCTTTGTGCAACAGACTAGTCATTATGGTGAAAGGTCAATTGGTTTGCATCGGTGCAAGTCAGGAATTGAAGCAACGATTCGGCGCTGGTTACGATATTCACATTAAATTAAATCCCAGTCGAACGGACGATGATGTCAGCGATATAAAAAATATTATGGAGTCCTCTTTATCGTGTGAAATTAGGGATGAGAATTTGGTAATAATTTTGGACTAACGTGAAACATTTACAGATTTATGTCTATAAAATTTTCATTGATTTCATTTTCTAATTCACAGTGTCTTATCGCGTATCATGTGAGTAATATTGGTACGACCTGGGAGAAAATGTACAGTACAATGAATAATTTGAAAGTACAATACAGTTGTATTGAAGATTACGCTGTTTTATCAGCTACGTTGGAACAGCTTTTCATTCAATTCGCCAGAGGAAACGAATTGACAAAATCTACTGTAGATTCTACTACTCAAACTATTGATGTATAAACACCATGTGATATTTAACAAAATTATTTAAAATTTTCTTTTCTCTAATGTACAAATTTAATGCGTGGATTTACATAGTAGTCTGTGTATCGTGTCTTAATATATAATCAGTTCTTCAAGTTTTCTTTTTCTAGATTCTATCCTCTAAAGAAATATTTTAAAAAGTTATATCGAAAATATAATAATATAAATGTAAATTATGTCACAATATAATTGTTTATGTTAATAAAGGATGCTTAAAAATGTCGCCGAACAAATACTTTCTGTGGACAGAATTCAATAGCAATGTTGTGAAAAGGAAAGTAAAAACTTGGAACAATACAGGGAACAAAAAGAAACATCATAAATAAAGTTCTCATATTTTATATAAATAAAAAAGTTACATAAATGATATATTCTTATGTACATACGTCCGCCTTTAAATGATATTACTGCAATGGAACAAAACTGATCGTGTAATACGTAATGACTTGTGCGGTGTTGTCTAGTAATGGTATCCACCCGAGCTTGTTTGGTACGAGTTTGGACCCTGATAAGATCCACCGCTTCCTCCTCGACCACCTCCACCACCAGCAGCACCTCCACCACCTATTGATTAAAAAAAACAGTAATTTAATCAATTAAATAAGAATTAAATAAGAATAACCAAGAAATATTTTCTTTCCAAATTTCCTATCACACATAATTCTGTTATTTATACAAGGACTTCTGAAACAAGATATCATCGATGAAATACTCACTATATCCACCCCCTGAAGGGTATCCGGCTCCGCCACCTCCGCCACCACCAGCACCTCCACCAGCACCTCCACCGGCTGTTGATGAAAAAAAAAAAACAGTAATTTAATTATTTAAAATAAGAGTAGCCAAGAAATATTTTCTTTCCAAATTTCCTATCACACATAATTCTATTATTCATACAAGGACTTCTAAAACAGGATATCATCGATGAAATACTCACTATATCCACCTCCTGAAGGGTATCCACCTCCGCCACCACCAGCACCTCCACCGGCTGTTGATAAAAAAAAAAAACAGTAATTTAATTAATTAAAATAAGAGTAACCAAGAAATATTTTCATCCCAAATTTCGTACTACACATAATTTTGTTGTTTATATAAGGATTCTTGATACAAGACATCATCGATGAAACACTCACTATATCCACCTGAAGAGTATCCGCCTCCGCCGCCACCTCCGCCGCCACCACCACCGGAAGTATCTTGATTTTCACCTCTGGCCTCAGCTGCCAATGCTAATTCAACGCCTCGTTGAATTTCCGGCGGAATCGGAGGCGGTGTTGGTAAATGTGCGCCCTGAGGATGGAAACCTTCTTCATCCGCGGTGTAAGTGATGCTATACTGTACACCGTCAGGTCCGGTGTACGAGTATGATCCGCTCACCGCTTCCGAGTTACCTAGGAGAGTAAGTATGATTATTTGACGCAACACGTGCTTGGTTGGATTGCATCACGTATGGAGCATTTTTTGCGACTTTCCAGCTTGTTAGAAATAATCATTGTTCGGTAATCATTCATCGCGAATTGAATTGGCCGAAATTAGGACATGTGGTTACTCAGACGGAGACCTGTGGCATGATCTCTCTTGAGAAGCTTCTTAACATTTTACTATGTCGAAGACTCGTTATGGAAGAATCTTCCACGAAGATGTTGAAATATTATCAATTTTGGAAATCTCTGTTTTGCAAGTAAAATACCGGCGGAAATTGAAGTACCAAGAGCGAGTTGGATGGAAGTCACATTTTAGCAGTTGCGTTGTTATTGCGTTCACCGGTTCGGTTCTATTGTAAACGGAACGATTCGAGGCCGCGCACAATGATGGATAGGAATATTCATAACGGCTAGAAATGGCATCGACGAACCGCGAAGAAAAGGAACATGAGGGATATCGCTGTTGGGAAACTAGAATGGCCCTGATCTCACCTTGCAGTTGACCCGTTTCTTGCGCACTGATACCATTTCCTGTTTCGTAGCTGAATTGGTAGTTGCCATCACCGCTATTCTGATTGTTGAACGAGACGATAGGTATCTCTTGGCCTGCTCCGGGTCCTCCCCTTGGTCCACCACCACCGCCTCCACTAGCTAAAGCACGAATTCGAACAAATTTTCAACGTTTTGGGAAACGAAAAAGCAAGAAAGCTTTAATTTAACTCGGACGATGCCTTAAAATAACCGAGTTACCGCAGACTTTGATTGACTCGAGTGCCCTTTCTGTACAATTGACTTTTAAGCCTGAGAAAATTGATGATCGAGCGGCCGTACGTAGAAGTCAAAAGAACTAACAACAAACCAGTCAGAATTTCAAGTGATTCGAGTAGAACGCGTCTCCCGTTTCTGTCGCGTGTAATCGACTTTTTATTGATCAGCGTACCCGTGCAATCCTGCACTACAGTTGCGCCATCATATCAGGTGAAATCCGCGAATGCACTCGAGATTAATCCGTAACTGAATGGAGTCTAATTACCTGGTCGGCCGCGACGACGTGTTATACAAAAGGAGACACACGCGAGACGCTTTGATGTTCTTATTTTCGCAATCCAGCGAGGATTCTCACCATCGTCGAATCGTACGTAAGTGGATTCGAGAGCGTCGTTACTGGGACTGCGCCGGTGTGTCTTCATTAAAGGAGCGCCTCGAGGGATAAAGTGATTAGGCGCTTCATGTTGTACGACGGTTTTCACTTTTCTTTCGTCCCCGTGACACGAACTCCGGTTTCACAGCATACTTTACATATTTTGACGCAACTCGACCGACCAACTGTCTCTCATCGCGTGCGATTTCTCTCCTCTCATCACGGTGCGATGTTTCCCTATTTTCTGATGTAACGTGACACAACTGCTTCACGATCGTTCGAATGATTTTCCCTATGTGCACGTGTTACCGAAACGAACTGTGATAAACGTTCCCGGTAATTCCCTCCGTGATTGGGTAATTTGTTACATCTAACTTTTTCCCCGCGCACAACAAGTTTTCCTTCGCATAAGTTTTACGGCAATAATGATTTTAATGATGTGTGAAATGTTCGCACTGACGAGAGGTAATGATTTGGTCGGGACTAACGAGAAAAAAAAAACAATATATAGCGCTGGAGTACGCGACGAGTACTCTGGTTAAGTACATGTTTTCTCCTCGTTGTGTAATGCGCAAGTATAAAAAGTTGCACTTCTACGTAGATCGAATATGAGACACGAGAAAGAAGAGAATAGAGAGTTTGAAAGCATCAAACTTTTTACCTGCATACAATGAAAATTTTGCTGAAAGATTTCAACGAAGTATTACTTGTACAGTCTGTATAATTACTGCGATAATTTCGTACGATCAAACACGTGATTTTGATTTGATAACTGTAATTGCAATATCTTCTCGCAAAAGGCATGAAATCATTATTATTGCCTTTCACTCAGAAACGTGATATTAGGATTAGATAATAAAAAGCGGCAGCGAGGATTGAATTCGAGAAGTCATTTATATGGAGGCAATGATATTTTCAATAAACCATAATATCGTCATGTAAGGAGACGTTGAAGCCTAACATGGGATACTAACTATACTATTACGGTATTATAAGCTGTAATTTAGTTGCATGCCGCAAGATACAACAATTTATTATAGGAAGCTCAATAATTCTGTCGGCTTTATTGAAAACCAGCTTTGAATTACTGAACGAAGAAAATTGCGGCAATTGGCAGACATAGGAAAAGACATTTTCAAAAAATACGTGCAAGTAATTAAAAAGTTGCTGGAACTGATTGTTCAATGATATTGGAAAATCAATCGTTAAATTTCATTAGATGTAGCTGTTGCGCATTCAATTATTCAAATTCTCAAATTATTCAATTATCAAATTCTCAAATCAAATCATCAAGTCATTTACTGAAATTAAATGAGTTGATATCTCGGGAACACGTTATATTATTTTCTCTGTGTTACGAAGCCCAAAAATAAAATAAAAAAATAATACTCACGTCCTCCGTAGGCACCTCCAGCGCCGCTACCAAAAGTACCACCTCCTCCACTGCCGCCAAAGGGACCACCCCCTCCGCCACCGCCACCGCCACCGCCGCCAAAGGGACTACCTCCACCGCCATATGTACCAGGTCCACCCGGGCCGCCTGGTCCACCTGGTCCACCTGGTCCACCTGGTCTACCAGGTCCTCCAGGACCACCTGGACCACCATGGCCACGACTCGGAGCTTGTATCAATCCTGCACCTCCTGCAGTGCCCGCATTGCCCGGGGGAAGGTAAGTGTTGTCTAATCGGGCCGAGCGACACGTACCAATGACCGCTAACAGCGCGACAGCGAGCTGTTAAAATAGTTGTCAGTAACTATATAACCGTCGAAGATACCATGCGAGATTTCAAAATTATTTTAAAATTGAGATAGGATGTAATTTTCTTGTCTGGGGTCGTCACTGAGAAAGTTTTCCTAAGCACACTAACTTGGTCTTAGTCCACCGACTCTAATTAATATCAAAAAGGAAATGCGAAGACGAATATTAGAGATTGGTGTTTTTTTTTTTTCTTTTTCCAATATTAAAGAAGGATTATACCAGGATAAAATTTATCAAATTTCAGATTGCTAACTTCACGCTCGACATCACTGACCCGCGGCTCTCGAGCAATGAAAAACCGGAAGCGCTCGAAGATATCGCGCCACCTATCGCGGGTGAAAACGAACGTATGCGACTCGTACCGATCTCATCTCGCTGGTGAACCGTTCGATCTCTGTGAAAAGCGAACCTCCCCGATGATACCGGTCGCACAATGAAACGTCCTATCGTCAAACGATAGCAATAATTGGTCTGTGCAGATTCAGGTCGAAGCAACCGTGCTTATATACCGATCCGTGGCCGGAGAATCGTCTTCCTCCCACCCAGGAGGAAGACTCTTGGAAACAGCATCGGCTCTGGTGAACACCCGGTGCCGCGTCCCTCGGCGAAGTTCGCGAACATGGTTAACGAACGAGCGACGAGGAAGGAGCTGTAGGAGGGACGAAGAGTAGAAGGAAACCGAGGGAGAAGGCGGCCGAAGATGAGCCTCGGCAAGAGAGGATGAGGGGTAGTTGCGCAAGCACCAGGTGATACAGATCGGCGGGCATCTCTCGTCGGACCTGAAGGTCGGCTAATCGGGTCGACATGAAAGTAAGATTGGCATGTATAAGAAATATAGACGAGCGAAGGGGCGACATGGCTGATAGAAGAAGAAAGATTATACGCTGCTAAGGTGGCATGCTTCTTTGATTGGTAAGAGACAATCGCTTGTGGAAAAAAGAACGAAGAGCGGTGGTGTTTGACGGGGATGACCGCGACGATCTTTCTTAGATACGCCGAGGATTGCGACGTCCAACTACGATTTCAACTGAGTGTGAGTTCCCTCTTTGTAATTATATCGGTCATTTCGTATTCGACATCGTGCGGTGAACATCGTGCGGGGTCGCGCGACGTCATCATCATCATCATCATCATCATCCACGATAGATGGGATGGCTTATAGAGAGCAACGCACGATCTGCAACCGCGCGCGATTATTGCGCAACGTGATGCGTTGCGCATCAGCCGTGCCGATGGTACGTAATTTCATGTAGGTGTGCGAGCGTGTACGTATACGAGAGGCCGCTCCAAATCGTTTCTGGTGTTACCGATCGGCACGTAACTTTCCGCTTAACGATTCCCCTCGGGTCACCGTACTCACGCTCTGAGGCAGACGCCTCGACGTGATCGCTTCCCAATAACCATCTTTTACCTCTCTCGCCTACGTCGCCTTCGATTTTGCCTCGGAGCGGACTGGCGCGAACAGTTCAGTTCCTTATTCACTTTTACCGGGTCGATTCGCGGCGACGCGCATGGAGATCGGCTTAATCTTTGCCAGCTAGAGATTTTTCGTTTCTTCGCGAATCACAGCAGCTGCGATTAACCCCTCGGTGACCTGTTGGCGTTCTCTGTACACTTCATTATCGAATGGTCCGTTTGATCTTTCTCACGAACGATAGATCATGATCAGAACGATATTTTTTTTGTCGCTTTTGTATAAAGTTAGCTCTTGAAGCTTATAATTAGAAAGCTTCCCCCCGACGGTCTTCATTACCGCGGTATAGAAATACTAATTGATGTTGCGTTATTGGTGGATATGATTGCTCCTCGTGAGAATGTGTTCATCTCCTTGCGCAGCGTAAGAGGGAAGAAAGCCACGTAGTGGAAAAAAAAAAGATGCGTTTGTACGTAGAACTAGAATTGAGCCCCGCGTAAATTTGCAAGGTAATTTCGATTTAAAGAGGGACCAGCAGACTCAGCGATTAGATCTAGTCTACTCGAAACGCCGGATGGCGTCCTTCCGATATAATTGCTACGACATCTTGTCTAGTTACTTACTCTACTAGACGTCTATCGCCTGAAGGGTGAGTGAAATGTCTCTTGCGTAATCGGTCATACTTTCTTCCTATATGATGCTTATAATAAGCGAAAGAAAGTTCCTGAATCGATGAGGTAATCCATCTCACTCCCCCAACGAGTTATCTCGCAGTTACGTAAAACTCTTTAATTTCTAAAATCGATTTATAGTCCTGTGGCTTTCGCAGATTCCCTTTGACGATTGTCGATCGAGAGTGACTGGAGCAAAAGTAAAATCAATTTCATCGGAAAATCATAAATCACATCGTACATTCTTTTCCGTACATTTTTCATCTGCTTATTGCCGTTCAACTTTTACTTCGCTGGGCTTCGCGATCTTGAAGAGCAAACGAGTTAAGTTTCTCAGGAAAATTCACACGATGCGTGACCCAGTGACCCTATCCGCGTCGGATAGATACCAAATTCTTCAATTTCGGTCCAACCAAGTAAACTGGTACGACGAACTTGGAAATGAAGATTAATACTCTTATCTGCCCGATCGCTGGTAATAGATTCAACTCGTAGAATATCGGATCCCTGGGATCGGAGTCGGATCAGAAGAGATCCTGCCGGGAATCGAGGAGGAACGTTAGATACGGAGAATACAGAAATCAGCGTGATTCGATGATCGATAGAGTCGGCTGGGTTGCCAGCGTATTCGAATTAGCTGATGCCAGGGGTGCGGCTCGCGCAAAAAACGGGGCAATCGTGAGCTAGAGACCCGATAATAGGATAGCACAGCCGTTCGAGAGAGACAATGTATACCTGGCTACGGAAAGAATAGATCTAGGATGCTTTCTAAACGGATCGAGTCGCCGAACACACCGATACGCTTTGAGAAGACCCAGCCCTTTGGCGCGCTATCCGCGCATTCATCTATCTTGCTGCTCGTGTTATGCCAGAGGTGAGGTTCATCGGCGAAACGCTTCATCGAGAAGCTGTTCCGCCACGGTCTCGATGTTTGTCGAGCCGCTTCAGCGGTGGGCGCTGTCGCCAAAAAAGGATCGCGCATGAGAAAACGGGATCCTGGCCAAGTAATAAGCCGTCTAACGTTGCATCGTTCTCCAAGCTGAGACACCTGATCCTCGCGGTAAAAGCCGAATATGGTGCTGCTGCGTGAATACTTTTGTAGTAGGAACAAAAGATTTTTATAATAGAACAAGAGAATCTTTCCTCTATTGTTTCGCTCCAGTGTTTCGTTTTAGGGAAAGGGATCGGCTTTATTGTCATTCTAGCCTTGCCTAGTAGGAATATCGGAATCTTCACCTCGTTGAAATATCTATCAACATCTATTTATTTAAGATTTCAATGCACACTGCGCAACAGAAATATCGCTGTTTGTTCATCTGGAGAGATTGCAGTTTAATGGATTAAGAAACAGTCTTGTACAGGTTTGATAGATTGGCTAATTGCACACCGTGGTGTATGCACGTGTAAAGAGAAGTAAAGAGAAATAATTTCGTGCCCCAGTGGCACGATGCTATTCCTGTAATCAGAATAATCGGACGACAATTCCAATCGACTTTCTCCCCGATACGAATTCTAAGAGAATAAGACGCGAACGCGAATTGCGGAAGCGGCTCACACGTCGTTATTGAATAATGATCTCGAATAGAAGGGATTGCACGCATAATATGCTTCCCCCCTATTGGCTCTTGAGCCTTGTTGCGATCTCGCTGTAGTATAGATGATCGTGTACCATTTCGAAAGAGCCACGCCACAGAGGTCGACGAAGGATGAAAATATTTGCGGTTTAGGTAGTTCTGGTACGCCCTGACGCAACTACGCGAATGGTATGATAACAAGGAGGATGACAAAGTAGACGGGCACACGTTCGCCGCGTCCAAGCTGTAGCTATCTTCTCACAATTCTGATGCAACTGTCGGACGATTCTCGTCTATTGGAATTCTTAAAATACGTGCTGGTACTTTCATCCGGGATACCGAGCGCACCATCATCGTGACGATAATCGCTTCGCGTTCATGGCAACATGTAAAATTTAAACATTTCTCCATCTGCCTAACTGCCTTCGGGCTACGACCAAGTTGAACGATATAATCGACCGGGATGAGGATGGTGAAACGATCGAGAGAAGAAAGAGACGTTCGTAAAGACGTTCGTCTTTTGTTAGAAATCCCGGCGAATGAAACACTATTCCGATGGAATTTCGAAAACGATATCGCGATCGTTCGATCCGGGATCTTCCATCGATCGCAATCGACGTGATTGAAACTCGTCGAGAAAACGAAGAGTTTTCTCGACTTAAGAGGGTCGTCTCCGCGGTGAGCGAGTGAATGGGTGCTCACTTGCCCACGGTAGCGCTCCGAGCCTTCTCTACTTCTCTCCGTAAGCCAGCTTATGGCTACGGGGCAGGAAAATATAGTTCAAACCGGTTGCATAATGGTACGGAGGCGCATCACATCAGTTCGACTCAACGTGAGCTACTTTGAGAATCCGCGGCAGCGGCGAACGTCTCTTCTTCCAACGTCAACGTTGACCTTTAGGTATAGCGGAACGCTTGTAACACCGATGTTTGCCGAGGGTAGGGGTGCAGTCATGCTGTAAACCATTAGCCCCGAGCAATATAGTTAGATGATCTAATTTCTAGTCTGGTAGTTTGTATACCGACACCCGGACTCGACCTGTTCGCCTTGGAAACTGAGGAATATAAGAGCAAGCTCTTCGAACCGCCGATTCAGAACGATGCACGACTGCATCGTCAAAGCATGCGAATCAATTGTAAATCCAGATTCGATCGGTCTCTTATATGGAAAGTTTGAGGTACGACTTGCAATAATATTGAATTTGAAATGTTTGAAATAAGTATATTTAAGTTTTCAGCAAACGAAGAAGAATATTTTATTTTTTGGTATAACATCAGTGTATATACGTATTCAGAAATATATTTAAGTTTATACATATTTAGAAATCTATAATAGCAATTCTGTCGTGTCTTACCTATTTGGTAGATTTCGCTAGTAAGAAATACATGCTAATTAAAGTTGACGTTAGGTCTAATTAATAGTGATACAGGTGATTAGGATACTCGAGTAACATTCGTGTTTAATTTGAGCGGAATGTTAATTAGGCTCGAGTAAGTTATTACGACGCTCGTCGCAGCATCTGTTTTCGTTGCTAGTTATATGTGCTAGAATCATCTCGTCTTTATCACTATTTCTACAACTGGTTTTGTTCGCACGAAATAGTTTACACTTCAGTTGGATAACCTCAAGTTATCCATTGGCTATTAAAATTACTTCCTGGAACATTATAAAATATTTTAAGAGTATTTTGGCTATAAAATGTTTAAACAATGATATTTAAAAAGACAAAATATTTTATACTTGTTTATTACGCACAGTTTAAAGTTAACTATAAGATTCTAGATTGTGATTTTTAAATTTAAATATCAGTGATATATCGATTCTCGTCGATGTTCCTAACAAAATGCTAGTAACATTGAAGCAATGCTAGTAACATTGATCGAGTGGAAACGATTTTAAGTACGAAACTGCCATCTGTATGTAACGTTTCGAACTACTTCAAAGTTCTCGACATACTTTCAAATGATTTGAATTATTTCCAACAGTTCCGAGAGACGCGAATGTAGTGGTTCTATAGAGTCGGAGGAACCGTTATATCGTCCAGCTTTCGTTGAAGTGTTCAGTTACTGAAATTCGGGAACTCTGCAATTACACGTTATTCGCTGAGTGATGGCGGACGATCAGAAGAATCCGAATAATGTCTTTCTATTTCGACTGGCAATTTTGAATTGTTTTAAACATATTGCGCAATCAGTCAGGTGAGCATGTAGTAGTTTTGAATAATAAAAATATAATTTCTGTTAAATTAGATGCATAGTCAAGTGATATTTATTGTAACTGATGTTGAATGTATTATTTATAATATTATATTAAAATATATTGTATAAGAATATAATATTATGATACGATAGAGGTTATGCATCTTGCCATAGCTTGGCGTTCGCGGTTCTTTCGTACGTACGTACGCATGCGCGTACATTAATTAACATTCAAACAAATCGTATATCGTATTTATTAATATTTATTTATTAATACTTTTGGAAGCTTTCTTATAGTTATATTTACATATTATAAATATATTTTCAAAATATATTTCTATGACAATATAGCATAATATGTACGTTACTTGTTACACAAATAATTCGACGAATCTAGTTTTGTGAACCCTACATTGTTAAATGAACATATTGGCTTGAAATAATATTCGCAAAATTTTACAGAATTTGCGAACATATTAGTAATAATAAAAGTAATAATGAAGTCCAAAAAAAAAAAAAAAAAA